CTCGCATGGGGGGCCCTGAGTTACACAGTCTTGAACAGGTCAAGATGGTAGTTTCTGCACGAATTCGACACGCGGGGCCGCTCCTGCTTCCAGAGCAATCACAAAACGGTCCGTGACGAAAGGCTGTCTCCGGGACGGGGTCGATACTGCGAGGAGCGACAAGAATTCAAGCAGAGATGTCGGAGGTCAGTGGGCATCAGCAGGGACGCCATGCCTACTGCTTAGAGTTCCTTTGTTTTCCTCCTCCTCCTTGTTCTTCTCCGCGTTCTCGCTCTCCTCGTCCTTACCGTCCCCCTCCGCCCCTCCTGTTGTTCCCCACATCCTAAGTGGAGTTCTTGTTTTCTCTGCACACCCTCCGCGCAGGATCTCTCGTCCTCCTCCCTCTCCTCTGCTCCTCTTTGCTTCCTCCTCCGCATCATCATCACCATCACCATCACTGCCCACTCATCATCATCATCACCATCAGCATCACCATCACCATCGCACGATCACTCACCATCATCGGCATCGAACGATCATCATCATCATCATCATCATCACTGCTCGTTGACTCACCACTTCGTCCCCATCATCATCACCACCATTTACCATCATAATCGCACGATCACTCACCAGCAGCACTCATCATCACCACCATCATCATCATCATCATCACGTCGTCATCATCACCACCACCACCATCATCATCATCATCATCATCATCATCCGCATCATCATCATCAATCATATATCATCATCAAACACCGTCGTCATCATCCCATCACCATCATCCACCAAGAGGGAGCCTCGTCTGTGAGTGAATTGTGAGAAAGTCTCAGGCGGGAGCCCCCTCCCTATGGGGCCCGCAGATCATGTTACTCATCCGAGCGGGTCATCGGATTCCTGTAACTGTCGTCTCTTTTGGGTTCCTCAGGTCTGAATTTGGAGGAAGCATCAAGCGGGAACCTCGTCTGTGAGTGAATTGTGAGGAAGTCTCAGGCGGGAGCCCCCTCCCTATGGGGCCCGCAGATCATGTTACTAATCCGAGCGGGTCATCGGATTCCTGTAACTGTCGTCACTTTTGGGCTCCTCAAGTCTGAATTTGGAGAAAGTATCAAGCGGGAACCTCGTCTGTGAGTGAATTGTGAAGACGCGTCAGGCGGGAACCCCCTCCCTATGGGGCCCGCAGATCATGTTACTAATCCGAGCGGGTCATCGGATTCCTTAACTGTCGTCATTTTTGGGCTCCTCAGGTCTGAATTTGGAAGAAGTATCAAGCGGGAGGAAGTCTCAGGCGGGAGCCCCCTCCCTATGGGGCCCGCAGTTCGTATTTGAATCTGAGCGGGTCATCCTCAAACCTGTAACTGTCGTCACTTTTGGGCTCCTGAGGCCTGAATATGGAGGAATATCAAGCGGGAGCTTCGTCTGTGAGTGAATTGTGAGGAAGTGGCAGGCAGCCCAACGGAACCACCGAGGGGATTTGAGAGCCTTTTTGTAGGGATGTCTCAGGCGGTTTGCCTGTTTCCGGGCTCAACATCCTTCGCTTGGACAGCAGATTGTGAAGATATCTCAGGCGGGGCGCTGGTTTCAGCACCCCTAAGGTGAGCCGCCAAGGGTGGTTGCAAGGGCTCGTTCGCGGCCATTTTGTTGGGATGTCTCAGGCGGTTTGCTTGTGGGCTCCTCAGGTCTGAATTTGGAGGACGTATCAAGCGGGAGCCTCGTCAGTGAGTGAATTGTGAGGAAGTCTCAGGCGGGAGCCCCCTCCTTATGGGGCCCGCAGATCATGTTACTAATCCGAGCGGGTCATCGGATTCCTGTAACTGTCGTCATTTTTGGGCTCCTCAGGTCTGAATTTGGAGGTAGCATCAAGCGGGAACCTCGTCTGTGAGTGAATTGTGAGGAAGTCTCAGGCGGGAGCCCCCTCCCTATGGGGCCCGTAGATCACGTTACTAATCCGAGCGGGTCATCGGATTCCTGTAACTGTCGTCATTTTTGGGCTCCTCAGGTCTGGATTTGGAGAAAGTATCAAGCGGGACCCTCGTCTGTGAGTGAATTGTGAAGACGCGTCAGGCGGGAGCCTTCCCATGGGTCCCGCAGCTCACGTGGTTCCTCCGGGTCATCCTCCGGCGCGCGCTTCCTCTGGGTCGTCCTCCGGCGCGTATCGGCTGGGACGCACGTCGTGCGCTTCCTCTGGGTCGTGTTCCGCACGAGGACGAGGAGGAGGAGGATTGCCAGGAAAAGGAGGAGGGATGATGCAGGACGAGACAGGAAAGCAGGAAGAGGAAGAGGCTGAGGGGAGGAAGGACGAGGAGGAAAAGGAGGAGGAGGAATGCCCGAGGAGGCCCCAGTAGGTCCCGGAAGGCCCAGAAGGCTCCAGGAGGCCCCAAGAGGCCCCAGGAGGCCCCAGGAGGGGGCAGGAGGCCTAAGGAGGAGGCAGGAGGAGGAGGAGGAGGAGGAGGAGGAGGGGGGGGGAGGAGGGGGGAGGAATATGGAAACGAGGAGGAGGAGGAGGAGGAGGAGGAGGAGGAGCGGATGAGGGAGAGGGAGAGGAGGAGGACAGGGGATGAGGAGGAGGAGGAGGAGGAGGAGGAAGGGAGAGGGAGAGCAGGAGGAGGAGGCAGGAGGCAGGAGGGGCAGGGGGAATGGGGGGGAGGAAGCATAACGAGGGGGAGGGGGAGGAGGTGGAGGAGGCAAGAAGAGGAGGAAGAGGCAGGGGTTGAGGCAGGAGGAGGAGCAGACAGGAGGAGAACGAGGAGGCAAGAGTAGGTGGGAGAAGGGAAGGGGCAGGAGGATACCCCCATGCAAGCTAAAGAGATTCTCATGTGGGGTCCTTCCGTCGGAGTAATTGTTTGTCTCCGTCGTTGTCGACTGGGCGTGTGCATCGAGGCCCCCTAGCAAGAGAACCCTGCTTCGTGCTGAGAAGTGACCCGTCGTGCGCGCGAAGCTGTGCGCGAGATGTCGTCGCGCTGTGGGCACCGACGGAGAAGTCGCTGTCCGTCCTCATCCTTCCTTCCGGTACCACCCCTCCTCGTTCTGTTGGTCCTTCTCCTCCTCCTCATCCTCCTCCTCCTCCTCACCCTCCTCCTCCTCCTCCTCCTCCTCCTCCTCCTCCTCACCCTTCCGCCTTGTGCTCCTCCGCTTCTGTATGGTTGTTACTCACCGAATGTGGCGGCGGGGCGTGGCGAGGCAATGGCGCGGTGTCTCGGCGGTGTCCCGATAGCAACCGCTTGGGGCTGACATGTTCCTTGGCAGAGGACTCTAGCACAAGCGCGACGTGCAGGCGCACGCATGCAAGCCAGAGCAGGCCTTAATCTACACCCTAACATATGGTCTAAGACATGTTGGGGATGCCTGCTGTGCTTGGATACTGTTACGTGCGGTCATTTGAAGACTCCAGCTGCGCGTGACTGGCGCCTGGACGAGCCCCCCCCGTAGGCTCGCAGGCGAGAGCGCACGGGAGAGCGTGATCAGCGCACTGGATGCCGGCGCCCGCCCGCACGCGGTCAGGCTGCCTTCCCGCCCCAGCAGGAGGGACGAGGATGAGGAGGAGGCATGATGGGGAAAAAATGGTGGTCCCAGGCCCCTCATCGCGTCGTGAACAGAATCACGACGTGGAGGTTTTGTGGCCAGCTTCGGCCTGTGAAGGGCCCTCGCTGGGCCCCGGGACCGTCGACCAAAACGACTCCGGAGGAGCGCGGGTCGCTAAAGAGTGGGTCGCGAGACCTCTGGGGGTCGACCTCGTGCAACGGTCAAGGACTTCAGGGCCCCGGGGGTGGCGGTGGCGCCACTGCAGCGCTGTGCAGGGCCCCCGTTGCAGATCGGGACGGGGCAGATCCGGCGCCGCCTCGCCTGCGCTTCGGGTGGTCTCTCGGCTCCGGGCCGAGGGGCGGCGGCGAGCCGACCGCGCGGTGCTCTGCCGCGCGGTGCTCTGCAGAGCGGCCTGCTCAGCAGCAGAGGCAAAAGGTCGCACTGCACCTCTCGTCGCCGAGGCCCCGGCTCGGGTCCGTGGCGAGGTCCTGGGCCGCGCGGGGCCCTGCTCTGCAGGGCGCCGCGAGGGGCAGGGCCGGGGTGCCGCTTGCGCGTCAAGCCCTGCAGATGCTTGACGGCGGCTGTCTCCGATTCGGCGCAGTGCGGGTGCGGGTGCGTGGGTTTGCCTTCGCGTGGTCGGGATTGCACATTCTCTGCAATCTGCCGCGACTTTGGGCCTCTTCACGCTCATCGCCCACCAAGCAATTGTCCGGATCATTCAGCAGCGGGCCCCAAGGAAACGCGTGATCTCATCGAGATCTCCGAACAAGAAATTGGGGAGCGATCATCCCCCCCCCTCCCACTGCGACCTCGACTGGGGTCCTCCCACACGCACCTGTCAGCTGGGCATATTGCCTGCGTACCCCCGAGAAGGAAGGCCAGCCACATCTCCGCTACAAGCGTAGACACACAAGACTTCCGCCCCTGATCACCACCTGCTCCTCCGGTTGCAGTACGGCCGCGAGCTTTTGTTGAGCGTGTCGTGGCGGTGGCACCAACAACACACTATGCCTTGCAAACGGATCGCGTATCGCTCCGCTACGCGGGGCTGCGTGTTAGGAAACGATTGGGAGATTTCTGCTCCGGTGCTGGGACGTTGACTGCGTGTCGCGGCGCCGAGGCGTGGTGGGCCAGAACCAGCGGCGGCACGCTGAGCAAACGGCTCATACCGCATGCGAATGCCAAGATACCGTTTTTTGTTGAATCGGCGATAACCCGGGTTATCCTGGGGGGGAGGAGGGGGCCGGCCGATAACCTTACCCCCGCGCTGTGGGCAGCCCTGCATATGCCCGCGCCCCCCCTCCCGCGGACCTGCACAACTGGCAAGGTTAGGTTATCCTGGGGGGGGGGGAGGGGGGGGCAAGCCCGATAACCCGGGTTATCGCCCGACCCTACAAAAGACAGTCTCCAGAAGGAACGTTGAATCAGGAACAGAAGCTATTTGCGGGCTTCGAACGCTCCGGGGCGCACGCGGAGCGCCAGAGGAACAAGCA